TTTTTTTTGCTATTGAGTTATATGAGTTCTCTGTATATTTTGGATATTAGCCCCTTATCAGATACATGATTTTTGCAAATATTTTCTCCCATTCAATAAGTGGCCTTTTCATTTTATTGGTGGTTTCCTTTGCTGTGCAAAGGTTTAGTGTATCAAATCCAAAAAGTCATCACGGATAATGATGTCAAAGAGCTTACCTGATGTTTATCTTTTATATAATATGCAATGTCCTCTAACATGCTTTATAATTTGCACTAGCTTTATGTTTATCATTTACCTCTCTTCCATAAAGTAAGCTCCACAAGGGCAGAGATTTCTTTTGTGCTTTTTTCCCTTTGCTGTTTTTCCATACCTGGCGGAGTACCTTGCATATAAGAGACACTGTATAAATACTTATTTATGTTAAAGTAATCTCACAAAATACCCTTAACAGGTAAGTTCAATAATACATGGCATTCCGTAACCCCTTCTTGGAGATTTGCAAAGTATTATGTTCTCTGAGATAGTCTGCTGTAAAGAAACCTGTTTATCTCTAATCTGGCGTTTCCCAAATTTACGTGATATACCTCTTTTTCTCAAGCACCTATTAGTATCCCATGGAATTACTGCTCTGAGGAGACAGCATTGCTCTAGAGCAATCATTTAAAAATAATAATATCCATATAAATTTAACCCAGAACTGCAAGGTTAACTCAACATATGAATGACATGTTGTCAATGTAATATAGTATATCAGCTACATAAAAGATAAAAGCCACATGATCATCTCAGTAGATACAGACAAAGCAATTCACAAAATCCAGTATCTTTTCATGATAAAAACATTTAACACATGATGAATAGAAGGGAACTTCCTCAACCTGCTAAAGGACATCTACCAAAAAAATAAAGAAATCAAACAAAACCACAGCTTGCTTCAGACTCAGTGGTGAAAAACAGAACTTTCTCTGTATGACCAGGAATAAGAAAAGAATCTTCATTTTCACCACATCTACACAACATTAAAGTGGTCATACTATCCAGAGCAGTAGACAAGAAAAGGAACAGGAGCATCTGCTTGGAAAGGAAGAAGTAAAATCATCTTTATTTTCGGGTTACATGATTTTTGTGTCAAACACACACCCACTGGGGGTGGGGAGAGAGAGGCAAAGTGGAAGCAGGGAAATTAGTTAGGAGGCTACTTGAGCCATCCCAGTAAGCACTAATGAAGGCTCTCACGCTCTCCCTCTCCCTCAGTCGGCTTCAGCAGTAATGGCCTCATCTCTGCTTTTGAACAGACTAGGTGTTCTATCACCTGTCTCCCTACAGTCACCTTCTCAGCAAGGTATATCCTGAGTGTCCTATTAAATATCACAATGCAATTCTCATACTCCTACCCAGAATTTTTAAAACGCCTTAAACTGATTTTTTTCTTCTTTTTAATTGAAGTATATTTGACATACAACATTTTATTAGTTTCAGGTGCGTAACAAAATAATTCTGTATTTGTATACATTGAAAAATGATCACTGCAATAAATCTAGTTAACATTTGTTATCACAATGTTACCAAAATATTTTGTTCCCTGCGATGAGCACTTTCAAGATCCACTTTCTTGGCAACAGTCAAATAAGCAATACATTACTAACCAGAGTCACCATGCTGTACATTACATCTCTGTGACTTACCTATTTTATAACAGGAAATTTGTACCCTTTCACTGCTTTACCTTCATGCATTTTGCCCACTCCCACTCCCTCATCTGTATTTGTGAGATCAGGTTTTTTTTTAAATTTAAGATTCCACATGTAAGTGAGATCATAGAGTATTTGTCTTTGTCTGACTCATTTCACTGAGCGCAATGCCCTCAAGGCTCACCCAAGTTGGTGCACACGGTGAGATTTCATTCTTTTTCATTGTATCCATCTGCCACATATTCTTCATCCACTCATTTCTTTATCCACATCAAGGAACAGCTAAGCTGTTGTTTCCATGTCTTGGCTATTATAATTGCTGCTGCAATGAGCACGGGGTGGGGTTTGGGGTTAGGTATATATCATTTCAAATTAGCATTTTCATTTTCTTCACATAAATACCCAGAAGCAATATGGCTGGATCATATGGTAGTTCTATTTTTAAGTTTTTGAGGAACCTCCACACTGTTTTCCATAGTGGCTGCACTATTTACACTTCCACCAAGAGTGCACAGGTGTTTTCTTTTCTCTACATCCTCACCAATGCTTGCTATTTCTTGTCTATGTGATAATTGTCAGGTATAAGATGCTATCTTACTGTGGCTTTGGTTTTCTTTTCCCTGATGATTTGTGATGTGGAAGACCCTTTCATATATGTGCTAGTCATCTTATGTCTTCTTTGGAAAAATGTCTATTTGGAGCCTTGGCCCATTAAAAAAATTTTTTTGTTTTGCTATTGAGTTGTATGAGTTCTTTGTATATTTTGGATATTAACCCCTTATCAGATACATGATTTGTAAATATTTTTTCGCATCCAATAAGTGACCTTTTCATTTTATTGGTGGTTTCCTTTCCTGTGCAAAAGTTCAGTGTATCAAATTCAAAAAGTCATCATGGAGAATGATGTCAAAGAGCTTACCTGATGTTTATCTTTTATATAATATACAATGTCCTCTGACATGCTTTATAATTTGCATGGGTTTTATGTTTATCATTTGCCTCTCTTCCACAAAGTAAGCTCCACAGAGCAGAGATTTCTTTTGTCCTTTTTTCCCTTTGCTGTTTTTCCATACCTAGTAGAGTACCTTGCATATAAGAGACACCGTAGAAATATTTATGTTAAGTTAATTTTTCTATAAAGCAATCAATATATCAATTTAAAAATTGATGATCCTATCAGTTTCAAGCTTTCTAGGTCACTCTTACATGATAGAGAAGTTGAATAACAATTCTTGGGACCAAATTTCTCAAGGTGGGTTTGATGGAAAACTAATCTCACAAACCTTGCCAGGTAAGTTCAATAATACATGGCATTCCATAACTCCTTCTTGGAGATTTGCGAAGTATTATGTTCTCTGAGATAGTCTGCTGTAAAGAAACCTGTTTATCTCTAATCCGGCATTTCCCAAATTTACTTAATATACCTCTTTTTCTCCAGCAGCTATTAGTATCCCATTGAATTATTGCTCTGAGGAGACATTGCTCTAGAGCAATCATTTAAAAAAAATAATATCCAAATAAATTTAACCCAGAAATGCAAGGTTGACTCAGCATATGAATGACATGTTGTCATTGTAATATAGTATATCAGCTACATAAAAGATAAAAGCCACATGATCATCTCAGTAGATACAGACAAAGCAATTGACAAAACCCAATATCCTTTCATGATAAAAACATTCAACAAATGAGGAATAGAAGAGAACTTCCTCAACCTGCTAAAGGACATCTACCAAAAAAACAAAACAAACAAAACCACAGCTTGCATCAGACTCAGTGGTGAAAAACAGAGCTTTCACTGTATGATCAGGAATAAGAAAAGAATCTTCATTTTCACCATATCTACACAACATTGAAGTGGACATACTATCCAGAGCAGTAGACAAGAAAAGGAACAGGAGCATCTGCTTGGAAAGGAAGAAGTAAAATCATCTTTATTTTCAGGTCACATGATTTTTGTGTCAAACACACACCCACACATACACAATTAGAGCTAATAAATGAGTTCACCATGGTTGCCGGATACAAAGCCAATAACAAAAATCAGTTGGATTACTATACACTGGCAATGAACAAACTGGAAATAACCTCAATTCCATTGAAAACAGCATGTAAAAGAATAAGATACTTAGGAATAAGTCTAACAAAAAAGTGTAATGTAAGTAAACCAAAAACTACAAAACATCATTAAAAAATATCCATGAAGACCTCAATAAATGGAAAGACATGCATGGATGGCAAGATTCAATGTTGTTAAGGTGGCAATCCTCTCCAAACTGGTCTATAGATTCAACACAATCCCTACCAAAATACCAGTTGACTTTTTTTTCCAGAAATTGACAAGCAGATGCTAAAATTTGTACAGAGATGCAAGGTCCCAAAATAGCAAAAACAATCTTGAAAAAAAATAAAGCTAGAAAAGGCATACTTCCTAATTTCAATACTGCAACACTACAATAATCAAGACAGTGTGAAACAAGCATAAGGGCAGACATACAGATTAAAGGAAAAGAACGGAGAATTTTCACTGCAAATTAATGATGGAGCTGATAATTCAGATCAGACACAAAAATCCATGTTTTCCTCACTACCACCTACCTCTTTTGTTGTTGTTGTTCTTTACATTCTCCAGTACCTACCCCAGGACCTTGTCTAATAAACACTCAGTCAGGAGCCAATGACTGAATGAGCAACACTTCTGGTGATAACAGTTATCCTAGAAGGCATTAAGTGGCTTAAAAGAAGTATAACTATATTTTTAGGTACAACCCACCAGTTCCCCTGAAACCAAAGAAAGAAATTAAAATCCATAATTATCTGTGTGCTGCAAAAACCACAAAGGGAGTTTCTAAAATTCTTACCCATCATACTTCAGAGTGAATTGTTAAGAATATGAGAATTAAAAACTATCACTCTGAAATAAAAGGCAGTACCAAATATAAGACCAGAATTTAAGGTAGAATAACTGGGAGACATTCACCTCATAGTCTTACTTTTCCTGTCAACCAATCATTTTCAGTGAGATGAGGATAAGCGTCAGCTATCTGGGAGGGAGAGTCGCACATACACACTAATTCATGTGAGTTCTCCCAGGAAGCCCCAGAAGGCACTGCAAGTTTTAAGATCCTTAGACATGTTTAGTTAAGGAATAGATTCACTAAGCAAAACAATCCGAAAGAGCTGCACCTCCTCAGTGACAAAGGCGCACCATCTCGAAGCTGCCTCCTCTGCAGAGAATGAAGTGCGGCTCCAGGGTTGGCGCACTAAGCGGCTTTCCAACAAACCTGGACTCGCCAGTGATGCTGTTTTTCTCCTGTGCCGGCGGATGAGTCCCCAAGCACACCGCACGTCCTCTGGCTGCCGAGGGAACACACACAGCCTGTCTGCCTGCGGGCGGCTGTCCAGGGCACATGCCCTGCTGGCCGGTCGGCAGGCTGACTGTGACAGTTGTTTGACAACACAGGGGAAGCATGTCCATAGGAGATTGTGGGTGAATGCCAGGCCAAACTTCTCAACTTCCCACTCGTCTCCTTTTATAGACTTGAGAGCTAACCACAAGCAGTTGCCTGCTTTGATAAACGTGGATCATAGAGATGGAAATAAATGCTGTATCTGGCACACATTTTAGGCCTGTTTCTTTGGACAACTGAATGTAAATAGTTGCCTTTTTTGGGTTTGTAATGTCTAACAGGTATTTTTCAAAGGATTTATATTTTATCTCCTAATGTTATCTGTTAACCCATTTTTAGGTAAAACAAATAGCATCTGAATGTTGCTATTTCATTGTCACTGACTTACAAAATCATCTGGAAAATTTGCTTCGTTTTTAGAGCCTAAATTTTCCTGCTGACGAAAACAGCAATAATTATATTTATCTTCCCACTTCTTGTGTTCACAAGAAAGCTAATGCACAAATAACATAAAATACCACTTTGGTATGATTTTACCTCAGAAGGAGGGATGCAGGCCTGGGCTAAAGGACCACAGGGCCTTACAGGGAGCCTTCTTGGGAGCCAAACTTAAAGACTAATTTATCTCCCTACCCTTGTTTAACCTTTGCTCTAGTTTTGTTATTTAGCTCTTTTACTTGCTATATTATATATATTTTTGTAAGATACCATTTGGAATAAAGCCAGGGTATGAATAATCAAGTTTCAATGAAATGGTGTAATCTTTAGTTGGATTTTCTTGAGCATGTGCTGGGTGATTACGGAGATGATGAAACAAGAGAACAGCAGGCAATCCTAGGGCATTGCTTGGGAGCACCAACTAATAACCACTTAAAATGCATAAATCACATACAAATAAATAAGGCTGTCCATAACATTTGGGAGAAATGTTTAATGAAAAAAATGCTGAACATGAGAATTAAATATTTATTAATACACTTTTACACTCACTGTAATACCTTGTGCCAGGCACTATTCTGGTTGTTTTACATGTGTGACATGTGTTCTATTATTACCACCACCTCTATTTTTTCAAATGAGGAAACTGAGGGTCACAGTGGCTAAGTACCTCACCTAAAGTCACACTGGTAAAAAGTGGCAGCCAGGATTTGAAGCCGGGCCGTTTAGTACAGGGTCTATTATGCCGTTAGGCAGCATTATTGCTACAGGCAGCAGAAGACAGTTGTGTGAGTACTGACTCTCAGTCCTGTGGTCTCAACAGCATCATCTTGGGAAGCTAAGAGTGGAGGTTAAAAACACATCCTGAATTCTGAGCTCTGCTTGGAAATCATCTTGTACATGTGTTTTCTAAAAGCCCCTAGGCGATTCTATTCTTACACTCTGGGTTAAAAATTATTGAAACAGATGAACCCATTTCAGTTCACAAACTACAGAGCAGCAACGACTTTGAAGAGTATTCTATATTTTAAGCAAGCTCTTCAAAATTTTGGAATACAGGAATGATTAAATGAGCTCAGTGTTATATGATGAAACAGTTATGAGAACAGTCATGACCCAGAGAACCCAAGCCACAGACAGGCCCCTCGCTACCATTGTTCTGTCAGTGACAGACACCACATTTGCAGCAGTGGGCAGTTAGGATCTGTATTCAAGAGAACACAGAAGTGTAAGCCCAGCAGTGATGATGGCAAACCGAGAAGTACCCCTTTTACAGCATGTGCAGGTTACACTTTGCATTAACAGAAATGGAAAAAGCCACCCGATCAACTACTACAGGTGCATACTCTGTTTTTACTACATGAAAAACGATGTTCTTTTAAACCTATGTTTTATAACCAAAACAATGCAAAATATCTTCACCACTTTAATTTTCAGTAGATCACAGAAATTGAAAGTTAATTGACTGAGTTAAATTGCTCTGTACTCAACAAGATTTTATTTGAAGACGAGAGAGCAAGAGCCATCTCCACCTATGGACAGGCTCCAAGGTCTCAATTTTGAATAAGAGTGAGATTAAATGAAAGAGGCTGAGTGAAGTATTACCAAGGAACAAATTAAAATGTATGTGTATTTTCCCAGAGCATTATTGATTCCACATGGAGACAGAAGATGCAGCACCTTTTGGTGTCAACCCTCCCAACCCTTTCAATTATTTTACTTCCTGGAGATTTCCAGATGCCCAAAGGGTTTAGCAGTTTACAAAGACCAGATATGTGAATTAATCACTGCATTCCTTATGTATTTCATTCGATCCACACTCTAGGTGCAGTTGTGTTAGATGCCAAATTCCTTCTCTTTTTCTTAGTAGTGACTTACATGCTTCAAAACTTTTGTGGCAGGTAAAGTCTCTGTGGGAATGTAAAGATATAAATTAGTATTAGATGTCCTCAAAGGCCCATGTTTATTCTTGCACTGAAATCAAACTGATTTGCAAATGAGGCTGACCTAATGGAGGCGCAGATACACTTCAGTCCCTACTTATATTTCACTATGAAGTTCTTCACCTTAGGGACTAAACCACTATTTGTGCCCAGAAGCTCTTTCACCTAATTTTATCTTAACTGTCATGTGCTAAGTAGTCCTGAGCCCCTGTATGGCTTACTTTTTTCTTTCTCTCTCATCAGGCTTTGCAGTTCCATGGAGCCATTTTACAATTTGAAACTATAAACAAGCTCTCTGAGATTTTGGAGATTTAACCTCATATAAATTTGAATAAGCAAAAGAGACAACATTCTGTACATTCTCCAAGGACTTTCATTTGTGAGGTATTATACTAAGTTATTTGATGCCAATGGGAAATCTACCAAATAATAAGAAAAGTGAAAACCAAAAAAAAGTAATAATCTGGGATTATGATAATTTGGACAGATTCTAGGTTAATATTTTCCCTGATAGGACATAAACAGTTCAAAGAGGCAGGTAAACCAATTTACACTTTAGGTAAGACTTCAGAGCAAGTAGCATGTAAAATAATATTCTCTGGCACTTGCAAAGCCATTGCTGATCCACAGCGCAGGCTGCCTTGGGGGGTGGGTGGAGCCTGAGGACTGGCGTTGTGAGAAGTCACGAAGCTCACCCTCCTCTCTTAACCGGCATTCTGCAGGGTCTGAGTTTGCCGGGCAGGCCTGGTCTCTGCGGGGCCGACAGGGCAGGTGTGCCCCGCATTAGCCTCGCAGAGCCACCTCCACCTGTGGAGAGGCTTCAAGGTCTCAATTTTGAGGCGCAGCGACAGAGCACTGCCATTTTAATCTTGGGTTCCAGCTGCATTTGCTAATCCAACTTTACTAACTATGAATACACTGACTCTTTGATATTTTTTTTTTCAGCATTTCTGTCTACTTACTGTCACTTAGAACAGAAAGAGAAGAGGTGATTCATTGACTCTTCACTTTCAATGGCCACCTTAGGCAAGTTGCCTTGCCCCCTAAATTTTTCAGATATAAAATGAGAAGACTGTTCAATACTAAAGCCCCCTCCAGCTATTTCATTTGTAAAATAAATTCTTATCAATACTATTTATGTCTATTCCTTTAAGACAGTTGATCAAATATTCAATAAATATTTTATTTCCTATTAAAGTAATTTTATAAACATTTTTATTTTCTTATGCCAGTGAAAATTCATCTGGAAAACTCAAAAGGCAAAAAAAAAAAAAGTGCATGGAAATATATACTGATTCAACTTATATTCATAAAATAAAACCCCCATAGCCTATCGTCTCTGAAACCAGATTTCTGTAAATCAAAAACTCATATACAATTTTAAATTACTGCAACAACATCCTTTGTGAAAAGGAGAAGGACACAGAAGAGAAAAGAAGTTCATCTTTTGAATATCTAGATGTGTTCCATATTATGCTGGAGACACTCACGTATCTATGTAAGTGAAACCCTTGCAATGGCGATACAGATGTTCTCACATTGCCATATTTATACAGAAGTCACCTGAAGTTCAGAGAGATCAGACACATGCTCAAGAACACACTGCTAGTAAAATCTGTAGTTTGAATCCCCATCTGATGACCCCGAACCAAGTCTTTCCAAACCATTCCCACCATGCCCTGCCATGGGAGACACTGGGGTGAGCCAGCGGAAAGTGTGCGAAGCTATCCTTAGCACACTGGGATGATTGGGTGGTTTTTCACTCCTGGCAGGATAAGCTCCCTTTAAAGTATCATCTTCTGCTGCTCTTTTTCAAAGAGCATCAAGCTGGTTATAAGCCTCACATCCTCAGGAAGCAAGTGTCGCATCATTCTTGGAGGACTGTTGTTTCCTTAAATGTTAGATGGAGTGAAGTCACACATCAGACCCACTGGACTGCTCTTTGTCTAATGTGTGATAATTCGTTTGTCTTAAGGTCAAATGGACTGATTACCAGAGCTCTCCTGAAACATAAAAGGCAAATGGAAAGGTGACAAAAAGCAAGGTTGGGTCAGAACTAAAAAAAAAATCCCATGCAGAATGGATTTGATGTAGAAAAGGCAAAACCTGGGGACCAAACAAACAAAAAAAACTAAAAAAGAAATGTGTTTGACAAGTGTCATAAATATTTAATTAAAAACAGATTTCAGTTATGCAAGGCAAAGAAATGAAATCAAGAAGATTCTGGCTTCTTTGCTACAGAGGGAGAAAAACTAGTAACAGATGACATTAAAAATGCAAAGACTAAATAATTGTACTCCTTCATATACTTTACCTTTTATTGAAAAAAAATAACATACAAATAAGAAAGTATATTCCTTAGCCTACATACACATAGGTATACAGCTCAGTGAATTTTCACGAAGTGATCTCAATGATCACCACCTGGTCAAGAAACAGTGCATCTCCAGGGCTCCAGGAGCCCTCCTCCCACCCCTGCCAGTTGCTT